GTGGAGGAATTCAAGGGGACAGCAGCAGACCATGATCAGGACATCTGGTTCCATCATGCAAGAAATGTCAAAATAAGAAATTGGAATGCTACTCACTATATCAGTGATTTCCAGGATTCTCAAATTTACAGTCCCATGAAAGAGCCATGGCTTTTATGAGAATGTCTCTCACACTGTACAGTAAACAGCACAACCAATTATTTAAAGCATAATTTCATATAGAATTACAACTGATGAGATATTCCCAATGAACATTCTGGAATAATATGCATGCAACTAAAAGGAATTGAAAATGAAAAAAGTTGGTTGCAAAATGATAATTTTAAATTTGTAATACATATATTGTTAAACAGTTTACAGAACAGAAATGAACTCATGGACCACTGCCAAAGTTATGTACGGCCTTGCGCCTTCAAACATGAAGAAAAAAAATCAAAGGGTCAAACTCAACTTTCCTTTATACAGCTTCTAAAATAACAGCTAACTGAGTTTCATCAGATTGGAGTGACCAAAACAATAAATACAGCAAAATAGATCGGAAGGCAGAATCACTCATTGCAGTGCAGGTGTTTGATTGCTCTCAGGCAACATATCTGTGCAGTTATGCAACTTGGATGTACACTGCATTCTTGCCCACACGCATCCACTTGCAATCTAACATGCCTTAGTAATGTGAAGACAATTCGCTTTGTCAAAATATGGTATTTCACCAAAATAACATTGTTATTTTAAATGTTTCATGTCATGAAAAAATGCTTGTGCACTTAATTAATGATCTTATATACCACAGCTTGTTGAGATAAACTGTGCTGACCACGCAACACCCTCTATCTCCTAAAGTTGGCACTAACTTCGCAGACAAGCAGCGGTCACTGTATACCACAGCTTAGTCCTCTGTAAAGTCTTGATATGGCCATGTCACCATCCACTGTTCTACACTGCAACGAAGGCTATTTGCTGGGAAATGAGGTGCAGGATATGGGGGAAAGGGAAAAAAACAATAAGCACGCATGAAATCTTTATCACACGATTTACAAATTACAATTAGACTGCTACAATACAGTGATGTCAGTTTCTTGGGACTAGTTTCATGGTTTATTCTCAATGTTACAAACAGCTGAGAACTTTATAAGTCTCAATTGTCATGGTTCATATATCCCTTAAATGGCATTCCACTCACAAAGTGGAGCATCAAAAGAGCCCCATCATTTCCCAAACAACTGCAAATCAGATGACAATAACTTGAAAAACACTGACAAAGTTTTGTATTATTTTAAACAAAAAACTGAAACAATCACCTCTCATTTCCCCCTTCTTGATAAACAAAATTCAAGCAACACAGTCTTATCTCCTCTGTTATCCTACTTTCCTATTTCCCCATACCTCCTTTCAGTCCAACATCAAGCACCTGTGTAATGCCAGGTTCTTGTGGCAGCGATCAGAAATGGCATTCTATCTTCAGGGATGTGATGCTGCATACTCTGGAAGAAGTTCATCATCAGACTATGTGCCATCATATCGCAGAAGACTGTTTGTTAAGGCATTGATTTTGCAAAACTGATCTTTCACGCTGACTGATCGACACAAGAACTCATTCTCATTCTTCGCCATCAAGATGGTTATGGCCCTGCTTGCACTGGCAAGTGTAGTGTACTCTGGTAATCACTTTATGCCTGGCCAATAAAATGTTCAACTGCCTCCTAAACTGTTTTTCAGTTTGGCCACCTTTGCAGCAAGCAGTTAGCCATTAAAGCAAAGTGTCTTTAAAACATCTGGTATGAAGCAAGATTCCATCACAAGCAATTTTAACTACTATGACTGAAAAAAGGGCCAGTTTAAACAAAGAAGAGATAAGCTTGTGAGATTTTGGGTTCTCAAAGCAATGACTGAATGCTGAATTCTGAGATGTGATGTCACCTTCTGTCTCCTCCTTCAAAATCCCCGAAGATGGAGGCAGCAGGTTCCTCCACAATATCAGTAATGATCTATGAGACTACACAGCATCAACATCACAGCTTCAACAGATATACACATAAGANAATTCTGAGATGTGATGTCACCTTCTGTCTCCTCCTTCAAAATCCCTGAAGATGGAGGCAGCAGGTTCCTCCACAATATCAGTAATTATCTATGAGACTACACAGCATCACATCACAGCTTCAACAGATATACACATAAGGACTGCAACAATTCCTCACAGACTGTAACGAAAGCACACAATACCAAAAAACACCAAACATAAGATGCAGAAGAACCTAACTTATTCTGCAAATAAAATAATACTTCATTACAAGACAGGCACGCTTAAACAGGATCATCAGTAAACACAAACAGAAACAAATACTGAAATCAAATTCCAAGCCATATCAAACATTGGAATCCCCTCTACGCTCACCCTACATTAAAGTTATGGTCCCTATATTTGCATAGACATCTTGACTGAACAGATGAGGGACTTCAGATCCTCTCAGACATCTTAAGAGGTGACAGTGGTACAGCCAATCGGCTGCTAAATTTTGAAATTTCACCAACAGGCACATTACCCATAAGGCTCTTCTTACTGAATTAGAGTTGACAGTAGCCATTTGAGTTTTGAGCATCTCAAAGCTGTATATGGTTATAGTTTGGTGGATGCAACAATCTACTGCCTCCATCCTCAGGTCAGAAGAGTGTCCTACCCTTAAGATGGAGACAGCAGGTTGCTCCAAAACAGTGGAACCCAGCTACAAAACTACACATCACAACCTAGAAGACTGTAATCTTAATAACAGCCAGCATCAAGCTTCACCGAGCATAATTAATTTCTTTAAAAAAAGGGTAAAGCTAACCCTGTAATAGGCCATGGAGGGCCATAGGGTTGTGAGACGTCAAGGTTCACAGATGGCGGTGAGGCTGTGAGCCGTGTGTACTGGACACCCTTTACTCCCAGGAAGATTCCTTGTACTCATTTTTGTTAGAGGTTCAATTGACTCCAGAGCCATAACATTACTGAATTTGTTAACAAAGTGTAGGTTCAGATCTGCATTTCACCCTCTGAAGTTCATCAGATTATATGTACATAGTGAAATTCTCATATTTCAATATGTGAAATAAAATTAAAAATTTGGCACAATTAACTGCAGTATGTGGTAACTGTTCAAAGGCCCCATGATGGTTTACATAAAAGTGGAACTGTCCTTAAAATTCTGGGAGTCTGAGAATTCTATGGGGGCCAGGCAAGTCTTATAAAGTGCAAAAGATACTGAGAGTCATGGTGCTATTATATCAAAGACAATATTATAATATTTAAAGTTAATGAAACTCTCAGAATTTTTAGTAAATGATTACTATGAAAATGTTCAACATGTACAATTCTGAACTCAAATTTTACTGAGCTTTGCCACATAAAATCAAAACCAAGAGAGCGTGGCTCAAGCAATACAGGTCAGCAATTTCATAATAAATGTGATTAATGTCTAGCAAACAGTGCAAAACAAAACAAACAAAAAGAAACCATTGCAACCAAAATGTTTTAGCTAGAAATGCCTATGAACATGTGAATAAAACTAAAAAAATTTACACACAGGTCATTAAATTAACTTACTGTTTATATAAACATCTTTCATAGGCTGCCATGTTGAGTATATTAACAGAAAACCAATCACAGATATGAAAAATTCAGCAGTCTCATTTAAATTTCCAAACAGGATCAGTAACAAGTTCAGTTATATAATGTGTTTAATCACATCAGTAAATAATCCTGAAGTTAGTTTATGAAACAAATGGATGGTTCAGGGAAGAACTGGAAGAGAGAGAATAAGAAATGAAATTTTTAGAGAAAAGTTGGAGCCCAAAATTTATCAAGATAATTATAAAAGAAATAATTACAATGGTTTCATCATATAAAAAGAGACTTACGGGATGAAGAACATGATTCAGTTAAGTACTGGAAGATAGTGAGAAGATATAAAAGAGCTGGAAAAAAATAAAAAAGGAGACTCTGGGAGACTTGTTGTCCATCATCCCCATATAACACAGAAACAACATAAGAAAATGCTCAATATGATAAATCACTAATTTAAGCTTGCTGAAACTAGCTATGTTTCCTCATTTACCCTTTTCAAACCAACGTTTGAACTTAATACAGGTTAAGGTATTAAAAGCAATCTTCCTCAGTTTTAACTTTACTAAAACAATGTAATGCAACTGGAAGATCAGGACAGAAGACAATATTTTCACCAAACACGATTTTCTCTTTGAAACAAAACAGACTACCTAATCCAGATTCTGTCCCTTCCTCCCTCACCCTCCAGGTGTCAAGATTAGATCTCTACCAGTACTTTAACATGTTTAGTTTGACAATTATGTTACGCTTGAAATGAAACAGGCTGTCGTTCCGTCGTCACTGCTGACTGTTGATTATACAAGGTAGAACACATAAATGCTGCATAAAAATTTTGGTCCTACCATCTATACAGTTATTTTAATGAAAATATGGCCTATGCAGTTTCATTGAGGATGATAGTCTCCATATATTACAGAAATTTAATCAAAATTATTAGAGCTGTTTCCAAGAAAACTGTCATATTGTATTTTGGGACCTACATGAAGGGCCGGCATTTTTGGTGCGAGAATATTCATATTCACAGGGCACCATCTTCTAATGGATAACGCCTAAATATTGAATAAAAATAAAATATAACTGTTAAGATATACAGAAAGATCACATTCCAAAAACCACTTCTTTTGCATTTAAGTGGGCTGAAACTATTCAAATCCATCCATCCACTTCACTTTCTCACAATCCAGTCACAATATTCAATACCGCAAACATACAAAATACTATGAAGAAAGTTGTCTTCTGGGTTTAGGCACCGTGTATTCTTCGTTTTGGCCGACGTTTCGGAGGAACGTAGCGCCTCCATCTTCAGAGCAGTTGAATAGCTGCAGAGATCTCCGCAGCTATTCAACTGCTCTGAAGATGGAGGCGCTACGTTCCTCTGAAACGTCGGCCAAAACGAAGAATACACGGTGCCTAAACCCAGAAGACAACTTTCTTCATTGTCATCGCCATGAAAACCTCAAAACTTACATACAAAATACTAGTTTGAAGCTCCTCTTCCAAACAAAAATTTGCCACAAAAATGACAGGGAGACTATTGGCAGAACCACCTATCAACAAAACTGGTATTACCTGTAACCAGCACATGCAACACTGTCAGCCCACTGAGGTACTATCATCTTGTGCAGCACCATAAAGATCTGATTATGTACAAAGATAATGACAACCATTCATCTGTGGCACAAGAATCTCCCAAATTGCTATGTATGTCATATATATCTTCGGCAATGTGAACGTGGAACATAACATTAGTCTACAATTCATATTCACACAGGCAAAAAATGATGGGACCAGATTTCAAAACAATAAAATTCTATAGTTTGGCTGTTTGAAGTTTAGTCCTACGTATACAAATGCATGCACACTAAGGGCATAATGCATCTATACTGGAAGAAGAGCAATTATTGGCATGGCCCTATTACACTATGTTAAAGGTGACTATTGCTTCTAAATAGTGCCATAAAACATCTTTCCTTCGCCTTCTCCTGCCCTCTTTTTTTTTTAATTGTGGCCATACTGTTTTTGGTTTGTGTTGACTGATGTGCCACAAGTTCTGTCACAAGCTGTTCAATGTTATTTATATTACATGTTTCTGTCATTAGGAACCCCATCTCTCACTTCTGAGACCATGGTCTTGTGGCTTGTGACATGCTGCCCCCATGGCAGACTGCAAGGAAGGTGGTCATGTGACCCAGGGTAGGGGGTAACGAAGGGGAGCCCGATCCAGACCAATGAAAAGATGGGTAGGAAAACAACCCTTTTAAAAGGCACACTACTCTTTTGTAACAGATGGGAAATTATTTTTTTGACATAATTAACATTCAGCTATTTTTTTTAATTTGTTTGGATACACTTTTCTTAGTCCTACAAGTGCCTAGCGTCAAAAATTTCAACCTTCACAGAAATTTCTATATTTGAAAGCAAGTGACTGCAGTTGGCATTTTATCTGAACTAAAGTCAAGAAGCATTTGGAAGAATTTTCTTTTCATATACTTGAAGTTCTCGGGAAATTCCTTAACCCGCTTTCCTTATTTGTAGAAAAAAAAGTGTATGTGTATTCCTCTGTATCGTTGCTAGGCAACGTCTTGGTAGACATGTTCCCGTGGCAATAAAGATATATGTAATGACAGAAGAACTGTTGGACATGTCGTTTCATATGCAGCTTGTGCTCTATCAAAAGAAAAAGAAAAGCAAACAGTTCATCTCAGAACTTCTTGTATAATGTACTATATACCCATAGAATAACATAACCCAGAATGTTGGTTAGGAAAGAAATCAGCAATGTTAGTGACACTGAACATACTGAAATTAAAAAATAACATTAGTGATAATGAAAACAGCATTTCTGATGTAAGTGCAATGATGATTTGTTTGAAAGTGGCCATATGACAACTGATGATTTAGAAGACAATACACCACTGCAAGCTGGAATGGATCAGAGAACTGCAGTATTTTGAACTTTATGTCATAAATAAATCTGATCAGTAAAGGTCCACATAATGATAACATAATTATTTGGCATTTCATATAATTTGTTTCACTTGTTCATTCATTGAATGGCAAATAATAACACCATATTGCACAACTCATTTTATTGAAAATGGTGCATGAAAAGTTTATAAAGTTGAAAATTATAGCAAAGATCTGCAATTTTCTTAGATGTGGATTTTGAGTTTTGACTTGATATTGTAGGAACTAAAGTTGTGCACTTGTAGGGTTAACTTCTCTGTAGTGTTGACTTACTGAGCTTATTAAAGAGAAATTTAATTTTCTGAATTGTCATAATGGTTGTCAATCTCGTTTACTTGATTCACGTTGTCACAAATGTGTAAAAATCTTAATGTATGACGAGAACTGGCAATGTCTCTTCATTAAACATGTGTTACTGGCTGGCTCATAAAAAGGGGCATATTTATGTTGTAAAATGGTAGAGATAGGCTAATTGTATCCACATAAACTGTTCAAATGCTGTGAGATGCAACTAGTAAAGGAAAATGTCAGCAGTTACATCTATTAAAAAAGACACACACACATACACAGTAATGATTTTGAGGCCTCTACATATCCTTATAAAAAAGGTTCATTGTTTCTTTGATATTATGTTGAGCATGTCAAGAATTCTTCAGTCATAGGAGAAATACAAAGTTGACTGTTTTCAAGTACAACCAATGCAATACTCGTATGTAGATGCTACACTTCTTAAAAGGAGGCTTGTATGTGACGACACACCTGTGTGATCAGATGACGCAGAAAGGTAAAGTTGAAGCAGTCATGTCTACAATACTATGCCTCAGTTCCGCAGGTTGCTCATGAAGGTTGACAGGTCATATTCTTCTTCATACTGCTTTTCCTCCCATAAATCTGGCAGCGTTTCCAGTACATTCTTCATTGTGAGTGCGTGTGATGATGCAGGTTGGCTCTTGGAAGATTTCTGATTGTCTTTCTTCTTATCGCCCAGTGAGAACAAATCCAGCAGCTGGAAATGGCGACAAGGAATACCAGAGTAGAGAATGGGTGAAGCAAAAACTGTTATAGTTTGGTTATTACATCTTCAGTTACCTGTGACGTGTGCCAGGTGCGTGGTGATATCATACATGTGACAGAGATATATGACTTTGTCTACAGCACTGATGATCCATTCTGAAAATATAACTCACCTAACTGCACTTCCATTCTTACAATCCCTGTGAAAGTTCTAATTGTGATCCAGCATTTACAACAGAATACAACTGACTGTTGTCGTACATATAGGACTAAATTAGTATATTACTGAATTCATTACTCCATGCAACATGCAGCACAATGTTTTCATGGTGAATGATACAGCAACCCTACATTGTGACGCCGCGCCACAGCTCAAGCGGTTAGTCGCTGGCTTCCCACCGTGGTGGCCCGGGTTAGATCCCGGGTCTGGTTAAGTTGGATTTGTGGTGGACAAAGTGACGCTGGGGAGTGTTCTCCGAGTACTTCGGTTTCACCTGCCAATCTTCATTCCACCAAATTCTCCATTATCATAATCACCCAGGGCAGGCTTATACAGGCCAATCAGTGACCGCCGTGCTGAGTGGACCCAGTTGGACTCCACCCCCCACTAACAGAATTAAAAAAAAAACACTACATTTTCTTTAGAAAGTATGCTTAACTAACTCTCATTTTCCAATCTTGCACAGCTGAGAAATGATAACTGGACTACGTAGTACACTGAAACCAGAAATTAGGGGTTCTTTGCGATCTGATGGATTTGAACACCAAACTGAGGGAAATATGAAAAGGAGGTGATTTTGTCTTGTCTTTATTGACTTTGAATCACAGAAACTGTGGGACAACCCCCAAGTACAGGAACATTATAGGGGGCTACACAATTATATACAGTACACAGCTAATTTACTGAACAAAGGAGTAACAGATGTGCTCAACTTGTGGCAGATATGTGGTTAAAGGGCAAGAGAATAAAGGTTTGGGAAGAAGGGAGTGATATATATACTTCCCTCATTGCATTCCCCTCTAACCCTCTTCCCCTTCCCACACCACAGATTTTCCTCCCATTCTACCTTTACTTTTGTAAAATGCAACACCCACCCTTCAGCACCTAACATAATTCCCCTACTTTTTCCTATATCTCTCCACCACCCCAAGCTCTTTTATCCTCTACCACCATCCTCCTCTACTTTAGCCCCCAATTCCTTCCCTTTCTTGTTCCCATTTCTCCAACTTCATTCACAAGGCAAGAACTGAAGCTGCCGCTTACGGATTAATTTCTTGGCAGTCCTGACTTATTTTTAACACATTCCTTCCACTTTGTGTTGTGGCATGCGGTAGCATTGTTGGTTGAGACACTATGCTACAAGGCAGAAGGTAGTGGGTTAAGTCCCAATGAGGTCATTGGATTTTTTTCAATTGAGCTAATCCTTCCAGCCACACTATGGCCATGGGGTCGACACAGCCTCTAACAGAAATGAGTACCAGGAATATTCTTGGGGGTAAAGGGCAGCCGGCGCATAAGGCTAACAACCTTACCGCCATCTATGAGCCGATTGTCTAGAAAATGTGGGAACCTCAACATCTCACAACCCTACGGGCCTCCACGGCCTGTTACAGGGATACCTTTACTTTACTTTCTGTATTCTCTGGAGCATGTTTTACCTATTTATGGTCTATTTAGTGACATGGTGAGCACCCCTCACTATAATGTTCAATGACATCAGTAAATATCACTAATAATGAAGTGGAAATGATGTAGAAAGAAGCAACTGAGGCATAATTTGAGGTACTATCCCAGTATTTGCACAGTGGGGTTGCAGGAAACCATGAAAACCCCAGTCAGGATAGTGTCTGGGAGGGGAATTGAACTTGGAGCCTCCAAAATACGAACCAGGAGTGATGCTCACTGGACAGCAGAGGTCGGCCCCCAAGTATGGAAAGAAAAAGGAAAGGGTGATGAGGCTCACTTACATCACGTACAATAAAGGTTACATAAGGGAAGGGGAAACAGGATTAGCTTTTATGGCAAGTGAATACTGCCTAAGTTCTTGGCCCTGGCTGTTCTCAGCACAGTGATCAGTGGATTTGGCAAACTGACATATGGAGTGTTGGATGTGCATGGGTTATAGTAGTGAGTCACCTTCCCTTCCTCCCACAATTCAGATGCAACCAGTGTCCTATTTTTTGCGATACTTATCCTAACACACAAACCACAGGCCATGTCTAAAAATAAATAAAAGCACATAGCACCAAACAGAAGATTTACCTGGTCTGTTCCCATGGTCTCCATACTTTCATTTTCACTGTTTATCACCGTGTTGGCAGTCATTAACTTGAATTTCTGCAACCTGCAATAAATACAGTTAGTCTACTGGCTTTATGTGAGCAATTCACATCTTCGATATAAAGCAAATGATATGTGAGATGGGCAACACATTTTGTGAGTATGGCACTGATAATCTAAAGAAATTTNTAAATACAGTTAGTCTACTGGCTTTATGTGAGCAATTCACATCTTCAATATAAAGCAAATGATATGTGAGATGGGCAACTCTGGGAGGCTGTTGCATTTTGTGAGTATGGCAATGATAATCTAAATAAATTAATACATTGTTTTAAAACAAACTACAGCTACTGATTCTCCTCCATCTACAGCAGAGACCACAGGAAGAAGTTGGCAGGGATGATAGTGCTCAAAATTTCTCCTTCTCTACCTACTGTTGCATCTCCCCGCCAGCAACCCTTGGGCTTCTGTGAAGTAGTCAAAGCAACTGTTCTTAGCAAAGGTTAACGTGAGGTTGTCATTACCAACATTAATGCATGACACACAAAGGTAAATAATAAAAAATAAACAAAAATAAAAAATGTGTTTGTGTGTGTGTATTACAGGGGGGCATATGGTAGTGTAGGTGTTTGAGGCACTACACTACACACCAGAAGGATGCAGGTTGAATTCCCAATGTCACTGGATTTTTCACTGACCTAATCCTTCCATCTACATTATGGCCCTGGGGTTGACTCAGCCTCTAACAGAAACAAGTACCAGGAATCTTCCTGGGGGTAAAGGGTGGTCGGTGCATAAGGTTGACAACCGCCCCACCATCTATCTAGAAAATCTATCTCACTGTCTCACAGCTCTATGGGCCTCCACATCCTGTTACATGGATAGATTTACTTGACATGTATATTACAGTGGAACCCATACTTAACGTTTGTCACTAAACTGAGAGAAATTGTAAATGGAAGAACTACATGACCGTGAGGTTATGGGCTCAGGAAACCCTTATATTCATGGACATTAAATGGAGGTTCTACTGTACAAAGAAGCACATCCACTGCAAGTATAAACAGACTACGATGGTCACAGACTGGATGAGAATGCAGACAGTGGAGATGAAACTTTCAAGATCTGCGAAACATTACAGCAAAACTGAATAAGAAATGAAGATGTCACAAAGGTAAGATCTCCAAACAACTGATGGATCCTCCATTTCTAAACAATTAGAAAGTATACAGCAGAAGAGATGAGGGAAGACAGTAAGATTGAGGGTGTCACAAATGAGGCTGGAACTGGCTAACACCAAAGCCTTGGAGTGAAGAAGGAAATCAAATATTATCCTTGCGGAAGTAGAGAACTATAATAGCATACAAACTCACCCCATGATCTTCTCTTCTAGGGTGCCTGTTGTTATGAGTCTGTACACATTTACAACTTTCTTCTGGCCAATACGGTGGGCACGGTCCATTGCTTGCAGATCTTTCATTGGGTTCCAGTCATGCTCCACAAATATAACCTGCCAAAACATACACACACATATAACATGGCACTCATCTGAAATCAAACCGTGAGTAAGCGGAAGCCAGGACAGCTCAGTTGGTACAGTAACTGGCTATAGATGGAAGATCAAGGAATCAGGGTTGGAGTCTTAGGAGGAGCAAGTGATTTCCCTTCTCTCCACTGCTCTGGTCCCAGTCGGCTTCCTATCCAATGGGTACCTGGAGTTATCTTCCACGGGATTAAAGTCACTGGGATATGAAGCCAATCACTCATCTCCACTTAGCAGCAACGATAAGAATGCATGGTGCTATACCTCCAATCCCCAATAACTCTTCAGGGTATGATACTTAATTAAGCATAGGGACAACTTACTGAGAGTACCCAGGTGACCTGGTTTATTATGTCACCCTGTGTCATGATTTAAAATATTCAAAACCAATTTCCTCTAACCCTGAATATATTTTAAAATTTTATATTCATCTGGCTGAGGGCGGGGACTACTTGGGAGCTCTTGTGAACTTTCAGGCTGCATAAAAGTAGGCATTTTGTAGTCTAGCTAAATAACTACTGGACTCTCAAACAGGATTTGGTCTGTGGAGATAGCAGTTAGTATTGCTCAGCAACGTTTCCCTCCCCCTTCCCACACACTCTTTAGACCTGCCTCCACCACTCCAGCCACACCACTGCTTGGTAAGTGTTTGAACAGGTGACTGCTCAGGAACACCAAGTGCTGAGGTTTCTGGGTTCATTGCATTGCTCTGAAAAGGGCTATCTGATAACATATCTCTGCCCACTGTCTCTGTTGGTTCAGAGCAGGCACAAGCACCCAAACCCCTACAGGTCTGCTGAACTACCTCCCCTAATCATTCATCTTCATAACGGAGGCAGGTACCTCTCAAATACTGGCTGTGTGGCCCATGTCCATACAGCACAAAAACCCAAACAGCAGAATAAGCACCATGAATGAATCACTGTGATGGCTCACTAAAGTTGCACTTACGGTGTCTGCGCCCGTCAGGTTCAGCCCCAGACCTCCGACATGTGTTGTCAGCAGTAGCACATCTATCGAGGGGTCATTATTAAATGCTGTCACGACATCATGACGCATGCCCGGTGAGATGCTCCCATCCAATCTCAGATATGTCACACTTGGCATGTTACTCCTGGACAAAATTTTCATAATTCTTGGGTTACTTAATGATACTTTATCAATTTCACAGGTCATCCACTGTCAAATGATACAATGAATGAAATGTGAATAATGTGGCAGGACGAAATGATCAATGTTTACTTTAACTATCATTGTTCTGTAAGTGAGATTTTAAATCTTTGTGCTACAGATTCATAGCCATACATTAATATAAAAAATCAATGTACAGATCAACATAACAATATAAAATAGCTCCAAACTGCATCAGAATAAAAAAGATAATATTGCAGAACAGGAGGATCCCAAAACAAATCTAAAAGTATGATGGTACGTCAATAAGTAAGTTACAAATGGATACAGAACTAAAGAGTAGTGATTGAAAAATTCTTTTATTTCTCAACATAATCTTCCTGTACATTGAAGAACTTGTCCCATAGTTTCACAAGCCCTTGAAAACCATCAGCACCAATTTTTTGGGGCTGCTGTGGGAACCAGGCGGTGACTTCCCTATCTACAGCTTCATCGTTGGGAAAATGTTCAGCCGAAAGATGATGTTTAAGCAGGCCGAACAAATGGAAGTTGCTTGGAGCAAGGTCTCGGCTATATAGAGGATGCTCAAGGACTTCCCACTAGAAATTTTGCAAGGTCTCATTTGTCTTGCTGGCAGTATGGGGACGCACATTGTCATGCAAGAGCATGAGGTGAGGAGTCCTGGTTGCTTCCGCTGAATGGCCTTACAAAGTTTCCTGAGAATGTTACAGTAGGAGTCGGCATTTACCGTTTGTACTTGAGGCTGGAATGCGGTGAGCAGTACGCCTTCGTGATCCCAGTCACCGCCTGGTTCCAACAGCAGCCCAAAGAATTTTATGCTGCTGGTTTTCAGGGGCTTGTGAAACAATGGGACAAGTGCCTCAATATACAGGGAGATTATGTTGAGAAATAAAAGCATTTTTCAAATCAGTACTCTTATTTGTTTAAGTTCTATATCCATTTGTAACTTACTTATTGACTTACCTAGGTATATTTTAAACCAAAAGTAATATATTACACCAAAATATGGAACCTTACGAAGTGAAATAATCCAAGAAATAAATATAAACATTTTTAGAAGTGATGGAGGAACTAGAAGGGACAGAACTGGAAATGAAATCTTCACAGAAGTTGGAATTAAGTACTTGTTAACACAGTCAGAAGACTGTATGATCACGACTGTCTGGCCATGTGCTGGGTGCAGGGAGACAATTGGAATATTGATGACTTACTTAAAGAGATCTTGCTCCAGAATATCAAGCATTGCTTTAAGTTGGCAGAAGATGAGTGCTCGATGCTGGTTGACAACAAGTTCTCCAGCTTGTCCAGCGGGTGGCACGCCAATGCCACAGTCCAGCAGCAGCTGCCTGTAACACAAATATTGTAGGTGGGTTACCTTGCTTTCAGCACTGCACACAGTATAGCATTGAATGGTAGCATGTAAGGAGACCAACTTTCAGCCCTGAATTTAGTCGCAACAGATTTCAAGCACTTTAGCGGTGCGGTGTCACTCAAGCATATGCTCATGGAATGGATAATATTAAAACAATTAATTTACACTGTATCTAATACACAGGTCACAATACAGAATTAAATGCACAATTCTGCATGTTTCTCAGTCCATCCACTGATGCTGCAGAACTAAGCATTTTTTTATCTTCTTGCACAAATTTCAAAAACACTTTACAACTACAGTCATAATTAATTGCTATCAAACAGCTCTGACTTCATTAGTTCTAAGCTGCTTTGATCTCTCTGCGCAGTCCATTTATTGCTCATCAGTGTAAAACCTCGTTTAAGTATAGGCATTTGATAATACAAATACCGTCGTGAATGCAACAATTTATTTGGTTGTAGTTCTTTGTCTTTTCTTCCTCTGCACTACATGTTTTGGATGTAACTTGCCATCATCAGGTGTATTTTTCACTATGTAACTGTCACACTGCACACAATCTAAAATCTAAAACACCAGCCTGTCAGTTTTGTCTAAAATCTCGCCTACATACGCTCATAAATTTGATTTTAGAATTCCAATTTAAAATTTAAATTTTTTTAAAACTTTTAAAATTCAAAATTTAAAGTTTTAAATCACAGGGATACCCACTCTATGTCCACATGTGCTGCAGCGGCTATTTCTTATTTTCAGCACTGTTCACGTATTATTCTGTGCAGGCTCCCTGCGTGTGTCGCTGCTCATCTTTAATACGCTAGAGTAGCGTATTAAAGATGAGCAGCGAGTGTCTTTGGGTACCAGTGAATTTGAACACTTTAACTCAGGAAAATCTTAAATAGAGGAAATTTAATGGCAAGCTTATTGACTTTGTTTCATTGAAATGTAATGTTCAATGAGGAGAAGAAAACCTTAAATTGAGAAACATTAAATGAGGGTTCACCTGCATTCTGAAATACTTACTTTGCCTTCTGGTTATGTAGTCTGACCTGCAGGTGTCAGAGGCTTTGAAAGCTCAACAAGTGCAGCAAAGACTTGTATCGTAACACTTACTTGAGGGCCGGCAGTTTGGCGGCATGCTGAATGTCAGCCATGCTGCTGTTCTGCTGCTTCAACTGTGCCACAACCTTATCATACTCGGGATGCCGTGGTGACAGAACCAACTTCGGATGGTTGCACACATTCTGCAGATATCTCAAAGCCTGTAATCAAACACAAGATGTCAAGAGAGGGACAACAACAGTGGCCCTAGTCTATGCCACAGACATCAGGATTCTACTATCGTAGTGATCTGCTTAACCTTTGACTGCAAAGCACTGCCATATAGCTACTTGCTAAAAAGGCCAAAGCTGATGTGGCAGGTGCACAGAAAACACCATAATATTCCTCTGATATGACGTTCAAACGGCAACGGGGAATATCACGGGAAAGGCTGTTCTTTCCCCTAAACATGTGTGTCACAGCTGATGCCACCTATTGGCAGAAATGCTACACTAATTGACTAGCGTTAAATGACCCTTGTACACTTACTGTGAACTACAGCCGTATGGTTGTACGAGACATTTCTGATGACTGACTCTGACATATCAGGAATGTCACTAAGGAAGTTGTGTATATCCAGACACAATACTGCTTCACTGTGCTTCAAAACTAGTTAAATTCTGCTTCTCTTTTTCATTATCAACTACTCTTTTCTTCTCTCAGTACAGAGGTCATCATCACCATCTTGAACTATTTCAAAGATGTGGTTATCCTTGGTCGACTAGCTGCTGTAGCTGTTGGCTACTTCCTCCTCAATTATACTTTGGATGCTCATGGGCCTGTAACTATGCTGTCAGCATTTTCTGAACTGACCAGGCCATCTATTCAAAGATGTGAAATCAATCTTCAATTTTAAGGCTATTTCATCACCTTTCTATCTCAACAATGGGCCCTGAATTCATATTGCCATGTATTGAGTGATCAGATACAGGGTTTGGATTGATAAATGAATTTGCTGGACTCTTACAAACTGTAACTACAATTATGAACAATTATAGCACTATCAATAATTCATACACTCTTAAATTTACTAAAGCACACACTAAATCTTCTCAGTCTGCTGCGTCCTTACTGGTTCTCTGGTAATGGATTCCAATGCTGTAGGTTCCCCATGGCTCTAGTCCTTACAGACTGGGGCCTCTCTCACAATTGACTCTTCAATGGCCAAATACAATGGCCGTTGAATACTAGCCATGTCTTGCCTCCACTGCCTACTGGTGGCGAGTACTCACATCTGCTTCACCTGCAGGCTATTGACACTTCTGGACATTGTTCATGAAGTTCATCGATGGTTAAACATCTGCCAGCACAAATGTTTTCATCATTTTTTTGGATAATTTCATCAGTGACAACGGATGGCCTTCCACTTCTTATTTCATCATGAATATTACTTCTTCCTGCTTCAAATTCATGTTATCATTTTTCCATGTTTTGCCTGTTCAAAACACCATTGCCATAAACAGAAAAAAAGTTGGCCATAAATTTTAGCAGCAGCTTCTCCTTTCGAGCGAAGAAATCGAATTACTGCACGAACCTCACATTTGGCAGGATTTTGAATCGACATGGCCATTTTAAACACAATCNAGCTAGAAACCGCTCGCCAGAACCACAGGAACTTTGCTGCAAGACAGGCATATGTAACGATGACTTGGCACAGATAAAGTCGTGTCTTATTTATACTCTGTTCTACTGACAACAGGCCAGCGAAAAATCTAACAATCTACAGCAAAACCATCAATTATTATGGGCGTTATAACATAGGTGTGCAGCTGAACGAAACATACACGTCGAACCCCCCCAGACGATTTAAATCCCTGACGAAACATACACGACGAACCACGGCAACGGGTTAAACACAATCTGTGAGCACAACATTGTCGTGACTGTGGCCGGTGAACTCTGCCCTGTCATACGGTTCCTATCTCATTTGGCAGTACTGCCATTTTTGGTAAAAAATGGCAGTACTGCCATTTTTGAAAAAAAAAAATCCCCTTGCATTTTTAATGGACTTGTATCCTTACTTTCCAAATATCCCTCCTATCTCCAGATTCACAGAAACTGGTAACACCTTATATTTTAAGTTTGCTTTAGCAGGCATGCATACAGATACATGTAACATGCAAATGAGATTACTTTCATGTAGTTTCACGAAATTCGACGTGTTCACACCACTTTTAAACATGCATAGAAAGACCATGGTACCAACTAGCCGGATGGAGATCAGAAAGTCATTCTACCCCATTTCTACCACTCTCCAAGCACTGTAACATGTTTGATTTACATGAGCATCTACTGAATTTCTCTTTCATTTCTGTATATATGTAATGCAGAAAGAGCTTATTATTAAATGGGTAAAATGTCTGATACATTTAAATGTAGTATAAATACATTATTCTTAAGATTTTACCTTTGTGACCCCAAAATTTTAACTTTTTGTGCCAGAAACCATTACAAACAGGGCACTTTTCATCAGGGTCCACGATTACATAAAGCTGATTAATTACCTGAAAGATGTGTGTGTTCCCTTGTATTGTGCCTGACTGTGCAGTATGTGCTAGGGTCTCCTGAAGGCTCTGGTGTGCGTAAGAGCGTGCAAAGTCCTCATATAACTGCTCCTGCAGTGGGCTCAGTTCACAGTAATAATCCTGTGTGATCTTGGGGGGCAGATCTTCCAGAACATCTTCCTTTATCCTGCGCAACAGGAATGGCAGCACCTGCCTGTGTAGTGCTTCCATGGCCAGCACTCCTGCAATACAATGACTTGAATTCATCTCTACAGTCTTGTTTCCGTGGGTGAATTTGTTTTTAAAATAAAATTCAACTTCAATGAAACAAAATTGCAGGATTCTGGCTTTCATGTAACTTGTTTTATTACCTCTTTTCTCGGCAACAAGTGCTCAATAACATATATTATTGCCTCATTCCATTAACCATACTGTTTCTCCTTACTGCATAGCACCACACTCCTGTTTTGTCCAATCATGGCTTCACCTCTCACTCAATACCCATGAAGAAGCTTCTTAGAGATGTTCACATAATTTATTTTTGGCTCATTTGGTTGTATTTTGCTTCTTCAAGATCTACATAGGTCAGTGTTTTGGAGACTGGATTCTGTCTCTATCTTCAGGTAAAAACTAACAGTTTTGGACCCAATTGATAGAGCTACTACCTATCTCTATGCACCTGTACCAACACCAGACACGGTATACAAACCAAGCACAGCACAAACCATCTGTGAGAGCTAAGACAAAATATTAAAATGTTAAAAATTCCATACACATTTTAAGGTTTTGTCTCAGCACTTGCAATTGGTTTATGCTGTGCTTGGCTTGTACACCATGTCTGGTGTTGGCACAGGTGTCCAGAGATAGGCACTAGCTCTACTGATGGGCCCAACTGAGTAGGTTTTAGCTGAAGACAGAAACAGAATCCAGTCTCTGAAATGCTGTTTTTAAATAAAAACAGAATGATACCATCATCACAAGCTTCTAAACCTTATCTATAAAGGGGTTTCCAAAACATACCCTCAAGACATTAACCCTGAAGATGATGTCTGCAATGTTTACTGAAACAGTGGAAAATCTTCATTTTATGTGGTGTACTTCTGAAAGCCACAGACATACAGCTTTGCTCCATTTTGATAAATCTGTCTGTGACATAGTCATGTTTCATAATGAATGAGAGTTAACTAAACTATGTCTGAAACATCTCTAACAGTGCAACAGCATCAGACAATGATGCAAATCATTACATCACCATTAAAATGTTACCAGATTCTATTTTCAACATTTAACCGGAACCAAAATCATGACAACAGATCCTGCTCAACACGCAGGATTTTCTTCCATAATGTTGTCTATGCAAAGTATGACATACCATCAGAGATGTTTCAAAGTGTAACAGACCTGCTTCTTGCTCCTTGGGCGAGCTCTTTGGATCACGACTGGCCAGGATTGGCCTGCTGTAGCGTGCTGTAAATTGTTTCTCTGTACCAAGGAAACCAGGCATGAGGAAGTCAAACAAAGACCATAGCTCCAATACGTTATTCTGTATCGGTGTTCCTGAGAGAATGAGACGGTGGTTTGCAGTCAGCTGTTTGATTGCTTTAGACGACTGCAACAAAAATGTGAAGAGAACATAAGACAAGTGAGTTGAGTCCTAATTTCCATCCTATTATATTATCTGCCACATAAGTTGGGGAAATTTAATTAAATTCAGAAACTCAAGTTCCTGCAAAAACAAACTGTTCTTATGCACAATCCAAGGTTCTCATAGCAGTGACTACAACGAATACTATCTTCTGGGATATGATACCACAGCCTGGTGGATTATTAGCAGTGTCAGTGCCTCCAGATGCGGTCAGTGTTGTCCTTTGTCCAATAAGACCGGAACATTATACAGTGATCATGACGACCAGCATCAGCAGTGGAATCTACAACTTAACGCAGGCTATGAACCAGATGGAAGGGGGCCCACATTCACCTCATTCCCAGTTTTTTTTATCTTAGGTGAAGGTTAAATCTTCAATATGTGAGCAGAACAATCTGCATACAGATCTCACTGGGGAACAAACTTGGGGCCATCTACACTACGGCCTTGTGCTTTGTTTGAAGACCACCGCGTCCCCACACAAGTAAACAATAAGGTACATGAAACTCTGACTACAATCAAGATCATAATTGGTTCCATGAAAAGTGAGCATTAAGCAGATTATTAAGTAACAACTATCTTATAATTTAATTAAAAGGCAAAGCGGAAGTTGCTTCTGTGTCCAAAGGTAAATAGGAAAAGTTCCATTTACTATGAATATTCGTCATTATTCACTTCCTGTTCCAACTACTTTACTCCTGGACAAATATGACAGGTGTCTGGATGGATCCTGGCATTAAGCTGGAACTGAGGACAGAAATCTTGCTCCATTCTGGAGTCAAAGCTCAGCTAGACAGTTAATAATGAGTCACTTTACTCACTGAGCCATTCTGACCCATGTTTCCAAAAACAATGGTATATAAATAACTCAATAAGCTCAAGTCCATAACAGAACTTGTTATAAATATTCTGGATATTTGTAACAAAATTCAACTAAAATCAAATTTGTAAAATGCTCCTGAAGAAAATGTGTTACGTTAGTGGTACCTTGGTTTTGCCATTCTTGATAATATGGCCTTCATCCAGGATGCAATAGTTCCACTTGATTGAACTAAAGAAGTCGATGTCCTTCCTGACAATATCATATGAAGCCACCACCAGGTTGTAACACGCCACCTTGGAGCGTAATCTGCAGTCATTCAGACAAATTAGTGAACCTCATTGAGCAGAACATTTCATATCATCCAAAAATATTCACTATATAATTCAGGTATTCATGGGGAGTGTCCCACTGTGTTTCTCTATATACATACAAAGCAAGGAACCTTCCTATGTCTTATTTATTCTATCATTTGAAGATTCATCAATGAAAACACAAAAAGCCTGCTGTTCTGTATCCTATTCTTTCAAACTCAGCTTGTATCTTAAAAGTCTATATTGTCATGTACTAGTGACCAGACATAGGGTTTGGATTCCCAGCGGAGGTCGTGGAATTTTGAAGGGCGGAAAAATTCAGGGAACAAGTCCTCCGGGAGGGACTTTAAGCCGTGGGTCCCATGTTGTAGATTTACGGCACGTAAAAGATCCTCATGTCTCTAGGAGACTTCTGAGCAAAATTAGGCAAAAAGTTTCCTGCCCAAGTAGTTTCCAATGCCTCTGGTAGATGGGGGAAGTATCGGGTACTGAGGGCCGACCTCGTTGGCTGAACGGGGCTGATAGCACGCACCAGTACTGGTAGGGTATGGCGACTGGTAGACTATCAAAGGGGGACGTACAATAGACTATTAGTCACGGTGCATGGGGAACCCCACACCCTCCAATAATAATAATAATAATAATAATAATAATAATAATAATAATAATAATAATAATAATAATAATAGGGTTTGGATTGATAATCAGATTATTGGATGCTTGTAACTTGTAACTACAAATACTTATAACATTTATATTTATAATGGTCTCACTGATATACACTCTAGAGATCACTACAATTATAGAACACATGAAGTCTTGTTTCTTCATCGCCATGTAGTGGCTCCTAACAATGCAAATCAAGACTGCCTGCTAACTGCAATCAGTCCTTGTTATATACCCTTGCCATAGACTGCACTGAAAGCACCACATCCTATACTGGTGCATCAGTATTTGTCGCCCTGGAAAAGAAAGTGTTTACCGTGCTGCTGCCTAGCAATGGTCGCATCTATTCACTCCATTATTCAAGCTTCCAGCTGTCATGTCACAATATCTTCAAAATCCATATGAATACAATGTGTCCACATGTCATGGATGTTGAGCTCAGGCAATTTAGCCCTTATGGAAACATATTTTTAACACAACATGCAAAAACCACACAAAACTTTAGTACATGATATTAAGTGATGCTGATAGCATTCTCGCCTCAAAAACTTTACAGTCTCCATAGCAGTATTAATAATGTTAAGAAACTGTAAAATGTGAAGGTGATGTCTGTTACTATAATGTATATATCAAGTTCCAGAAAAATCCATCATCTTGTTACTAAGGGTCAGACAAAGAGGAATGATAGTACACCAACAAGAAAGGGGGAAACAAAGAATGAACCAACCACCAAATAATTTTTAACAAAAACCATATCTTTCTCATCAATGTGGAAAGGATGAGACAAATCATAAAGCTGAACACAAGCTCATGGCACAGTGGATATGCAACTTACTTCTCCCGTTCTGCAGGGGTTCCAATGTACTGCAAGGGGTTGAGGTAAGCTTTCGACATGAACTTTTCTATCTCATACACCCAATGGCCTGTGAGGGTTGGAGGGCAGATCACAAGAGAAGGCAATGGAATGCTGTCCGGACTTTTTGTTTTCTGAAACGAAAACAAAACACAATGTTGAAGAATAGAATCAAATCTGTTGTTCAGAATTGCCGGGTTTTTTGGACTCTGCTGTAATTCTGAGTGTTAAACACTGTCAAAACCTTTTAGAACCAAATCTGAGATGTAACACATTCAGTCCCTGGATAAATCAGCAATGAGAAAACAGGTCTAAATCTCATAAAATTATAAAAGGGGTATTCGGAAGAGGGAGTTCCCAAAACGGGAAATCTAACGTCTAATTTTGGTAATTTTATTAAAATACCAAGAGAAAAACAAAGAGACAGAATTGGAAACAAATTTTTAGAGAAGGTGGAATTCCAGTATTTATCTCTTTGGACAGTCAATTCAAAGCAACACATGTTTCATATGCTCTCCAGTTTTAACAAGTTGTTATGGTTCATGGTTCTGGCAATACTGCAACCACAGACTGAACAAACTACTTTTTGTGATAGTGTTCTTGAAAACTTCATACCTTATATTGCTGTGTCCTGAAATAGTGATCTCCTGCAAGGATGCAGATTGACTGAAGAGTCTTCCCCAAGCCCATGTCATCACACAGTATACCATGCAGTTTGTATTTATTCAGGAATGCCAACCAGTTCACTCCAGACTAAAAAAGAAGAGAGACAAATACACCTAGAAACTTTGTTGGATTTGAGGTTTTAACAGCAGTGATCATATAGAGCAGCATCTTCTGCAATGTGATGCCATATAGTCAAGTAGACTGTTTCGGAGGAATATACTGCCTCCATCTTCAGAGTTAAACATTAAGCCATGTAAGCAGCAAGCAGAGGGAGGCCACATGTACAAAACACAGGCCTGTAACTGAACCAGGTCTCCCATACACAGTTCAATTTAATTTACTATTTGGCCATGAAGATGGATACAATATATAAGTCCAAAATGTCAGTGAACTATTATTGGACTACCCACCACACCCCAGAAATTAGCATTCTTCATTTCCTTCATTTGCAGCCTCAAACAGCCACAGCAGTACAGTACCTGTTGGTAAGACCGCAATTCTGCTTTAATAGGTACAGGAATTTTGTAGTCCTCAATCGATTTGGGGTTTAGGAGTTGTTCCAAAAACTTTCGCTCACGACCCTTCTGCTCAATCAGCTCTGGAGTGAGGTTCGGAGGGTTTGGAATGCCCCCATCTAACGGCATCAGTTGTATCAGTGTCGCAAAACAATGAGTAGCCATTAATCGTACTGGCTGGTTCTGGTCACTCATGCAACCTGCAACACATGTGAGCACCCAAGTCATTTCATCATCCACAAGGCATCCAGTATCACCAAGGAATATACATTGACAAAGAAAGCCCTGTATCCACGAGTACTTAAATAACCACTTAAAATTTTTAGTCACTGATTTTTCATCAATTCTTATAGTAATATGGATGTAATTAGCAGCAGGGCTTGAATTATTATGTGGTATTTTAGTAAAAGTAAAGAAGTAAGTAAAGCTATCCCTGTACCAGGCCGTGAGACGTTGAGGGTCCCACACTATCTAGACAAGCAGCTCAAAGATGGTGGTAAGGTTGTCAGCCTTAGGCGCCGGTCGCACTTTACTCCCCAGATAAATTATTTAATTAATTCCTGGTACTCATTTCTGTTAGAGGCTGAGTAAACCCCAGGGCCTAGTGCGGCCAGAACGATTAGGTCAACTGAAAAGAATCCAATGACCTCATTGGGACTTGAAACTGTGACCTTTCGGCTTGTAGCATAGTCCCTCAACCAACTACACTACCGTGTGCCCCGGTATTTCAGTCATATTTGGATATTACAAATAACTGATATAATGAGCATTTTTAACTAATTTTATAAATTCCTTTTATACCCTGGTTGCACTGTAGTTGAGTAATAATGAAATATTGATTAATATTGTTAATTTAAGATCGTTTGCACCAGGCAAGTTGTCTAAAGCAGTAAAGCTTATGACTCGTATTTGGAAGGCATCTAGTTTGAATCTTGGATGAAGCACTGGCTTTCCTAACAGGCCTTTTGTACATGTTCTCAGGTCTTCCCAGTAAATATCGGAATAGTATCACGGTTAGGCCATGACAGGCATCATTCTCAGAGCTTTGCAATTCATCATTTATCCATCACCCTGTCACTGGGAGATCAATGGTCTAAGCTACTGACAGCATCATTAAACTAAAAATAAATTAAAATGGATAAGATCTCCTGTAGTTCAGTGCTCAAGTCCACTTCTGGCTATAGAAACTTCTATTGAAAGTTTCCCTCTAATATTCACCGAGATTCAAAATGGGATAATGCGGCCATTATAACATTCTTTTTGGCACATTTACAATGAAAACTTGAGGAAATGCCCTATTAGCTTTACCATGTTCATCCATCTGCATATTAAAACATGGGAACCACCAAATGTATTGTTATGAAATCTGACAGGGGTAAGTTTCATTAAAGTGTGTCAATATATTTCACTACTGGCTAAAATTTTAAATGATAGGACATTACCAAAATGTGTTTTTGTGCATACCTCACACAAATACCATTCAAGTTTCCTGAACACTTATCACAAAAAAACTGGTTTGAACAGAAGTTATACATGAAAATGAAACTACTGTATAAATACAAACTCATACTGTTTGTCTAATACACTTTTCCCATGTAGCAAGGTTTCTGCAATAATGAAACAGAACTGATTTTAAGCAACCTACAGGCAATAATAGAGTGAACATGCTGGAACTGCTACATTATGCAAACATTTCCTAAGCTGTGAAGAAAGCAGTCTTCTGGGATTTGGCACCGTGTATATGTGGTGTTAACCGACGTTTCGGAGGAACGTATCACCTCCATCTTCAGAGTAGAAGAAAAAATATAAGAAATCTGCAAGCGAAGAGACCGTGAGAACCGGTAAAAGCAGACTGCTTTCACCGGTTCTCACGGTCTCTTCGCTTCAAGATTTCTTATATTTTTTCTTCTACCCTGAAGATGGAGGTGATACGTTCCTCTGAAATGTCGGTTAACACCACATATACATGGTGCCAAATCCCAGAAGACTGCTTTCTTCGTAGTCACCACTGTGAAAGCCTCAAATCTTACATTTCCTAAGCTGCTTGAGGTGGTTAGCACGCAGATGTGAAAATAACAAATACTTCAACATTGATGTTGTTTTCATATTAACTCAACTGAAAAGTTGATGATTTTCTCATGCATTTCTCTTTTATTTGCGTGGTTTAATGGTACTTTCAAAGCCCATTACCTATAAATACTTTGGAAAGCAAACTGCAATTAGTAATCACTCATGTTGGAAAAATGCCCTCATTTTATATGAGACTTCTCCATATTTGTGACATTAACATATGGCTGCACTGGTAGGTTCTTTCTTCATTACAATGAAGTGCTTGTTGTAAGCCATACTTGATATACTGACATGGCACTGTATTCACATACATACATTCATTCATTCATAAATAAATAAATTTAATTAGATAATGGGAATGTATTTTGGCATAAAATAATTGTAGCCTGTATATGATGGATGACGGTCATGGTAGCCGAGCGGTCTAAGGCATGCACTGTCTTCGCTCACTCGGAAGCCGGGATCATGGGTTCGAATCCCACTGAGGGCATGGATGTTTGTGTGCATTTTTCTGTGTTTGTCTACAGGTAGAGGCCTTGCGACGAACTGATCACTCGCCCAAGGAGTACTACCGTATGTGTAAGATCTAGAAAAACCGAAGTGAACGGAGTTAACGGAGGTAGGCCTAGGCCCACTGGGGCTGTAGTACGAAGGGGGGGGGGATATGGATAGTGAGTTTGGTTCATAAAAACTGAACAGCAAAGCAGAGAAGACATTAAATGAGATTACAGTATCCTGGGATGTATAATTACCCAGTAGTGGCACCACTAGCAACACAATATATGGCACAATGCTGAACTGCAGTTTCTCTGCAACTGAAGCCAGAGCCTCTACGGCTCCCTGACGCTGTATGTCTGAGTCCACCGCTCCAAGCAGTGGCAGCACCTTATCCACAATGTGTGTCATCACTGGTACAGAAGATAGGCACGCCAATGTGCCCATGCAACGGGCAGCCATGTGCCTCACAGCACGGTATGGGTGTGTCAGAAGCAGACACAGCCTTGGGAGAGAGTCCTCCAGCACCTGTACATGCATTCAGGTCAACATTCAAATGGATACAAACAATAATTTTGTTGCTTAGTATTAGGTTCTCACAGCAGTGACTATGAAAACTATCTGCTGGTGTCTTCTGTGTAGTCCAGCAGAAGCTTATTGAAGTTTCAGAGAAACTTGCTGTCTCCATCTTCATGACCAAAGGGTAAACCAAGTAAGCAGCCTTTCATCTACTCCCTGAATGAAGGTAGAAACCTCCTTTGTAGAATTTCTAATGATGGAGATCCCCACCAGGCTGACAGACTCATGCATGCTGCCATCTTCAGGGCACCCATCTTGCAGCAGCTTCTTCCTCTCATCCCCCACTCCAGTGCCTACAAACCCTGTTGCTCTCCAGCCCATATACACCCCCTACTGGTCACTCGTGCCACTATTCTCCCATCTTCTCCCATCTCTCTGCTTAAATATGGCCCCTTATACGCGCGATGTCAATTCCTCCTCCTCCTCCTATTGGTTCTCTCAGGTCTCCTCTCCAGGCCTTTATCTGACACAGTTTTTCATGTCCAGCTCACTTTGCTTGGTTTACCTTTCAGCCCTGAAGATGGAGGCAGTATATTCCTCTGAAATATTGATGGACTACCAGACTATGTAGCATCACATGCCAAATGATAATACTCTTCATAGCCAATGCTGTCAGAACCTCAAATCCAACACCTCGAAATTAGTTCAAGAGATCTTCACAAGCGCTGTCATAAATGCACATTACGATACTGATATTCACCTGAGGCAAGATCTCTGGGTGGATGGCTGGACAGGTTACCTCAAGGACTTGAAGACTAGACACCAGATCCTCTGCTGCTGCATCACTGTTAATCAGCGCTGGGGCATCTGTTGCAAAGTGAATTGTTTTACAGCCAATATGAGAAGCACACTATAAAGCCCTGCCTTGCTCAAGAACATACTGATAAGCTTAGACTAGTTCAAGAACATACTGATAAGCTTAGACTAGTTCAAGAACATACTGATAAGCTTAGACTAGTTCAAGAACATACTGACAAGCTTAGACTAGTTCAAGAACATACTGACAAGCTTAGACTAGTTCAAGAACATACTGACAAGCTTAGACTAGTTCAAGAACATACTGACAAGCTTAGACTAGTTCAAGAACATACTGACAAGCTTAGACTAGTTCAAGAACATACTGACAAGCTTAGACTAGTTCAAGAACATACTGACAAGCTTAGACTAGTTCAAGAACATACTGACAAGCTTAGACTAGTTCAAGAACATACTGACAAGCTTAGACTAGTTCAAGAACATACTGACAAGCTTAGACTAGTTCAAGAACATACTGACAAGCTTAGACTAGTTCAAGAACATACTGACAAGCTTAGACTAGTTCAAGAACATACTGACAAGCTTAGACTAGTTCAAGAACATACTGACAAGCTTAGACTAGTTCAAGAACATACTGACAAGCTTAGACTAGTTCAAGAACATACTGACAAGCTTAGACTAGTTCAAGAACATACTGACAAGCTTAGACTAGTTCAAGAACATACTGACAAGCTTAGACTAGTTCAAGAACATACTGACAAGCTTAGACTAGTTCTAGAACATACTGACAAGCTTAGCCTTGCTCAAGAACATACTTGCAAGCTTAACCTTGCTCAAGAACATACTGGCAAGCTTAACCTTGCTCAAGAACATACTGACAAGCTTAGCCTTGCTCAAGAACATACTGGCAAGCTTAACCTTGCTCAAGAACATACTGACAAGCTTAGCCTTGCTCAAGAACATACTGGCAAGCTTAACCTTGCTCAAGAACATACTGACAAGCTTAGCCTTGCTCAAGAACATACTGGCAAGCTTAACCTTGCTCAAGAACATACTGGCAAGCTTAGACATTCTGTTACCCCAAATAATTGGATGATCATGAGAATAATGACTGAAAGAATGGAGGCTGAGGGGTTCAACTTGTGAGTAGAAAAAACTGACTACAGACCTAACTGGAGGCAGAACTCAGAACCCTCTAAATGAGAGTCCAGTGTTTTATCGCGACACTGCTGTAATTCTGAGAATCAGTCAGCCTTAGCAATTTCTGAAATAATCACCATCTTAAACATATTTCCTGCCTGCTCAATTATCCAGCAAAGACAGAGAACTCATTTCTTTATGAAGAGCTCTGTTTTCTGGGATAGAACACCATGTAGTCTCGTGAAAGTTAAACAACGTTTTGTTGGAATATACTGCCTCGATCTTCAGGGCCAAGCACACTAAACATGAAACCAGCATGTAGCAGGCAGCAAGTCCTTCAACCCATAAGATCGAGGTGACATATTCGTCCAAAACATGAGTTAACTTTCACTGGACTACAGAGTGTTGTACCCCAGAAGAATGAACTCTTCATGGTCATGCTGCAAGACCTTCAAATCCAACTTTTCTCTCTAAATTAATACCTTACACTGAAAATGGTTGTAATTTTCTTGGGCATAATAGAGTCAAAAGCATCTGTGATCTTAGCCATGTTCATACTTAAAACTGGAGCATTCATGAAATGACACAAATAAGCCTGCCCAAGTACTACCACCTGTCCATCACAACACACACATATTATCCCGATACTGAATGTATGTCCTCACAGTAAGAAAGAAATTACTATAATCACTTGAGTTATGGCATAGCCTGATTGTCAATGTGAACTCAGGATTTGGCTTAAATCAGTGCAGGCATATTCAGAAGTACTATTATAACATTTGCAAGGAGGGACATAAAAACCATAAAACAGTTCTGTCAGGGTAGGTAAGGACCCCCGCAATTCATGAACCTGACACAAGAGTGCCAACTGCTCAACCACAATGTTCATTATAAATTATATATAAAAATAGATCTTGTTCACAACATTTTTCAGACCTTACTTTGTTCCAAGAACTGCGCATAAGAAACGGATGCCACCTACCAAATGCAGCCAAGTCAACGGTGTTCTTGAGATGGTCAATCATAATCTCCCACAACTTAGGTAACTTCTGTGGCAAAGATCTACCAAAATATAAAGTTATTGACGTCACAGCAAAGGCAGCTCCTCTCCTCTGAATACGGTTCTGTTTTTGAGCCTGCAACAAGCAATTAAAAAATTCCATCACATATACATGACAGGAACACATGACATTTTGCACTCTTATTATGCTGCATGTGTATGCTAGACTCAAGACTACTGAAACTCCATTATTCTTGTGTACCTCCTCCCCCATCCATACTAAATCATAACCTTCCTGGAGCTGTTTTCCTTCCATTCCTACTCATTTTCTTTAATAACAATTATTTCTTTTATACGTAAGAATAATACTAATATACAGGAGGAAGAGGTAGAGCATAGGAAGAACAGGAGGATAATGAGGTGAGCAGGACATGAGGAGGAGAAAGGGGTGCAGTGCAATTGCAGAAGGAACAGAGAAAGAGCATATGGGCATCAAATTCTATTCATCCAAGTGTTCCATTTAACTAGCAAAATTTCTGTAAAATTTTGTCACACAGACTGCGACGTATGAGGAGCCATGTGACTCACTTTATAAGGCATATCATCTCATGATCAAAGGACCTACACTTATTGTGATTACATCAGACAGATCTGTGAATCATTGTC